GAGAGAGAGAGAGAGAGAGAGAGAGAGAGAGAGAGAGAGAGAGAGAGGTGAGTTTATACAGCCCTGCCTGACTGGCCTTGAACTTGAACTTGCTTAGTAGCCCGGAGTGGCCTCAAATTCACAAAGATCCACTAAATCCGCCTCCATAGAGCTAAAATTAAAGGCATGTGGCATGATACACACACACTAAATAAATATTAAAAATTAAGAAATAAATAGAGTAAAAAAAACATTGAGAAAGAGCCCTGACTTCAGCTTCTGGTACTTCCAAGCAAATGCACACACATGTGTATATGCACACAAAAAGAGGGAAGTGCATGCAGTTCTTTGGCCCCACCCTCTGAAAGCTTATTCTGTGTTAACCTACAACATCAACTTCCTCACTCTCCTTATCTTCACGAGTTCTTGCTCTTCACTCATGGAGTCCTGGCCTCTTTCACAGTCTGCAGTCCCGACTTCACTCCCTGACTGACCCCGGGATTGACCCCCAGGGGCACAGCTAGGGATTATTTTGATATGATCAGGCCACTAATTCTGGTTAGTCAGAATGAGCCCTGCTTGATTGTCTCTGTGATTGTAATATCACTAGAAGCCAGCCCACTGCAATCCCTTGGACAGCCATGTGATTTCACTCTCCAGCAGGTTTCTGAGGAGAGACCCTAGGGTTTACAGTAAACACAGAAGGTGAAGTCCTAACATTTCCCCCCTCAACAGATTCCTCTCATCTACAGCTGTGTCTCAGGAGTCTGAATCCACAGAGCTGACAATTTCACCATGCTCTTCTCAGGCCCGCTGCTCCATCCTTCTGGAAGGTCACAGATGCTTCTCTTGGGCTCTGTAGCTTGCCGGCTCCCTGCAGGTTTAGTGCTTGGGATTGTCCCTCCTTCCCAAGGCTGTCTGTCTCTAAAGTTGCATGCCTTTTGGTGCCTCTCCTCCAGGCCCACCACCTGTACACCAGCCAGGCCCTCCATGTCCCCTCCCTAGGAGCCCTAACTTCTTGACCTGTAAAATCATTTAGGGTCCCCACCATAGCCTGTACCTGGGAAGCCACTAAATTAGAAGAGCTAAGGTCCAAAGATTGCATTTCTGTTTTATTTTTTTCCCCTTATGGTAAAAAGCAAAAGCAAAAGCAAAACCGCACCATGAACACCAGGAGCGTGACAAGATCTCTAAGGAGAGAACGGGAAAGGAACTCGCACACTAACCGTTGCAAACCCACTCCGTCCACATATGAGAACACTAAGTAGCATGCAAGATTGGTTCCGTCATCCTGTCTGTGCAGCTGCATTAGTCACGCTTCCGCTGCTGCGATAAACACGAGGATCAAGGCAACTGATAGAGGAAAGTTTATCGGGGCTCCCAGTTCCAGAGGGTTGGGGTCCGTAATGGCGGGCTCAGCGTACAGCCGAAGGCATCCGACATGGTGTCCGAAGCTGGAAGCTGAGAGTTGAGAGCTCTCATTTCAATTCTAAGCAGGAAACAGAGAGAACGAAGTGGGGGGGGGAAATGGCGTGTAGCTTTCAAGCCTCAAAGCCCACCTCCAGTGACACACTTCCTCCAGCCAGGCCACGCTCCCTAAACCCACCCAAACAGTATCTCCAACTGGGGACCAAGTGTCCAAACATCTGAGCCTGTGGAGGACACTTCTCATTCAAACCAGCACACCAGCCATCCCAGATAACCGCCCCGCCTCCCAGTAGAGGGCTGTCCAGAGAAAGCCTCAGAGCAGAAGGCCTTCCTTGGGCCCAAGTCACAAACTTTCGGTGCGTGAATCTCTGTGGTCACGAGTGACTGGTGAAGGGGCCTGGAGTTCGTCTGCAAGGCTTGTGTAATAAACTGGGGTCTCGCTCATGGATCAAGGGTGCTTACACGCAAGGACCCCAGACAGTGGCTTGTCTTTGGCTTCACATCCAGCCCTAATAGCTCATCTCTCAGCTCCTCCAGAAGATTCCAGAATAAGAGTGAGCTGGCCGGATGTAGGGACTTTCTTCGCCCTCCCACTCCACAGCTCTATTAGCCACTCAAAAACGGAAGTGACCAGATAATCAGGTTTGTCTGTTATGCTAACATGGAAGAAAATAACAAGTTGAAATTTTGTAATGACCCTGCCCTTCATTTGAAACCAGTGCCCCACCATCAGTAGGGCCATTTAGGACTTGCAGGTACAATACAGCCTGCCAAATTTCACCGTGTTTGATGTAGTCATTTGAGGTGTCCCTGACCAGATGTCACTGGCATCTACCTACCTACCAGTAGGCATGGGATCTATTTATATGGTTTAGGCTGCTGCTCAGCCCTGGTCTTACCCCATCCTCTACAGGGCTCTCCTCTTGGAAGGCAAAGTGTGGCTTTAGAGGCCACTGTTCTAATGTCTCATTCTTGCCTTCGCACACATATCCCACAAAAAGATTAAGACCTTTTAAACACCCTTCCCAGCTAACACAACAAAAGAAGGACCTTTACAAAGCATCCTGTCCAAATATTGTGCCCAGAAAAAGTTCCCCTAAAATAGAGAAGAAATAAACACTCGCAATAAACAAAAGCAGGGAGTTTATCACCCCTGCCCGCCCCCACTGAAAAGAAAAAAAAGATGCTTAAAGAGCAACGGGAAAGCTTCAGAAGTGAAAACTGTATGGAGACAGGTTCAGAATACAGAAATATGGGGACAGTGGGGAGCAAATTGCTTTCAATTCCTATCCAGGGAGCAGAGGTTTCCAAGTGGATGGAGGCTTCTTTACGCCTTCATGAAAAT